TTTTATTTCTTTGTCTGAGAAATGTCTGTTCATTTCAGATGCCCATTTTTGAATTGGGTCTTTGAATTTGGGGGTGTTGATTTTTTTCAGTTCTTTATATATTCTATTTTTGAGGCTTGTTTACGTGTCTTCTCATTTAGCAGGGAGGGTGATTCTGGCGCCCACGAGGCTCACCTTCACTGCCCTAGGAGCATGGAATGCTGGCAAGAGCGCTTCCTTCCTGGTTCTGGGACCAGCTCACCTTCTCTGACCTAGGAGCATGGAATGGCAGTAGGGGAGCTTCCTTCTGGGTGCTGGGACCGGCTCAGCTTCTCTAGGAGCGTGGAATGGTGGCCCAAACTCTGACCAGTCATTTCAGTGGAAGACCTCCAAAAAGATATAGAGGGAAGAGATGTAACTACCAAACCTACTAGATATCCGAAACATGAGTTTGTGTTCTCTAAATGCGAAGAATGAATTCTAGGAACAATGGAGGTTAAGAGTAGGAAAAATTTATTGAGAGAAAGAAAGCTTCTGCCTAAGAGAGACAGAAAGGGGACTGGCTATATATTCTAGATAGTAGTCTTTTTGTCCTTTGTCCTAAAATTTTTTTCCCACATTGTAGGTTGTCTCTTAGCTCTGTTGGTGGTTTCTCTTGCAGTGCACAAGCTTTTTAATAAGATGAGATCTCAGGTGTTGATTCTTTGTGCTAGTTCCAGTGCTGCTGAGATTTTGTTCATAAAGTCTTTTCCTATGCCAATGTCTTCAAGAGTTCTACCTAACCTATCTTCCAGCAAGTTTAGTGTTTCTGTTTTAATATTTAGATCTTTAATCCACTTCAAATCTTAGTTTAGTGCATGGTGATAGATATGGGTCTAGTTTTAATCTTTGGCAGGTTGAAATCCAGTTTTTCCCACACCATTTATTAAATAGGCTATCTTTCCTCCAGTGAGGATGTTTGGCTCCTTTGTCAAAGATGAGGTGGCTGAGGATGTCTGCAGTTGTTTCTGCAACTTCTAATCTATTCCACTGATCCTTGGGTCTGTTTCTTTGCCAGTACCATGGTGTTTTTATCACAGTAGCTTTGTAGTATAGTTTCAAGTTGGGTATTGTGATACCCCCATCCATGTCTCTGTTGCTTAGAAGTGCTTTTGCTATTCTAGGTTGAAAGAGACGTTTTGGCTGAGCAACTACAGTTGTTCTGAAACCATTTCAGTCAATGTGATTAGAGATCTTATTGCAGTTTTCAAGAGCTAAAGGAAGGAACTAGAGAGTTCTTTGAGTAATTTGAAGAGTGAGGTAAAGTCCATTGAGTGCAGCTTGTAGGGAATGATGCAATCCAAGGCTCTTCCCTCTCCTTGGTCTTGGTACTGGGGATCAAACTCAGGACCTTGTGCTTGCAAGGCAGAAGTGGTGCCACTGAGCTAAATCTTTGTCACAATCTTTGTCCCATAATTTGCTGCCTCTGGATCCTTGGTCAACACCAACTTCCTTCCACCTGGCTCTTCCACGTGTGATAGGCATTGAGGATGCTTTGTGTCTTCTTAAGTAAGTGAATCTAGTGTAACAGTTACTATGGGCTCCTCCCCAGGCCACAGACAGTGAGCACATAATCTAGGGTCTGTCACATTCTCAGTCTGCCATATGTGTGTATAATAAGGCCAGGCAAAATGGAGAGGAGTGTAGTTAGAAAAGGAAGAAGACCACTAGCAAAGCATAGGGGAAGTGAGAGCATTGGACAAAAGATACACATGTGGATTTTTTATTTTCTGTGGGAAGAAGTCAGCACACTTTGACCTCACTTTGTATCAACAGAAAAGACAATTCAACATTTTCATGTACCTGCGTAGTCCAGAAAATTCCAGAATTTGGTATACTGGAG